AAAAAACAACACGACTATTGAAAAATTGTTTTAGATATGGAACAAAAAAATTCTCGGATAGTTTTCTCTAAACTGGAACCAGATTAAATTTACCGGGACCACTAGAAGCAAAGTTACTGGAACTAATAGAAAAGAAGCTACCGAAAGTGGAACCAAAACTCTCGTTCTCGCACATCTCTAATTTTCTCTTTGCTAAACTTGCAAGTTAATTACGCAAGATATTAATATTTTTCTATATAACATAAATTTATTCTTTTCGAATAGAAATTGGATTTATTTTTTTAGGTCTGTAGCTATTGATATATTTAAGTATGCTATACCTTATTCAGATATCTTTGGTGGTGTAACAGCATTTCATTCATCAGATATTCTTGGTACAAATGGTCATCCAACAGTTTATTGGGGATGGGGTGGTGAAGATGATGATATATATTTCCGTGTTGTTAAAAAATTAAAAAAATCGATAATACGTTATCCAATTGAAATAGCTCGTTATAAAATGATTCGTACACATGGTCATACAGCTGCTGAATCAAATTCACATCGTCTTACGATATTACATTCAAAATATGATTATAATCTTGACGGTATAAATACAACAAATTATACATTACATAATATAGTTTTTTATAAATTATTTACATTGATTAATGTAACATTACCTGAAGAATCATTCGAACATATTCGTACACGTTTACATATAAAAAATAAAAATTAATGTTATTATTTTATATTTTGAAAATAAGCTTATCTCATTATATTATCTGTGATGATATTATTAACAATGGATTGATTAGTTTTTTTGTCTTCCAGCTAATTTTAATAAGAGAAAAAATAGTATATATTTTGCAAAGAGTAAATAGCGAAGACCTGGAATCTTGAACTACGGATTCTTTAGGTTTCGACAGAATTTTGTAACGTATCATCGAGAATTTCAGAAGTTCGCTATTTATCCCTTGATTTTTCTTGAAATAATCTCACAAGGAGACTGCTTCAAATGTTAAATCGCTTTTTTGAACCAAAATCATATTCATTTCATGAGTTATAGAAGAGTTTAGAATACTTTGGTTTATCAAGCCTTTATTCTTGATATATTGAAATTTTAGTAGGTTATCTGTGATCCTTCTCAGATCAAGTACAAAATCAACTTTAGCCTTCAAACTTTCCTAATATCTCTTATCCTAAGATATCCAATATTCAAAATTCTCTTATGTGCAAAAGTAAATTTTGTTGATATAGTTACATCTTCACAAAGGGAATACTAGTTGCATAATCAACTAATCTCATCTAGAACTTTGTTTGTGCAAAATTTGAAGTTGAAAGTTGATTTTTCATGTGACTTGATGACTATTATTCTTTAGCATTCATCAAATGAACATTGTCTCGTTCGAAAAGCTACGTGACATTTGGAGAGGTTCCGATGTCAGTACTAAATTATTACAGATGAGAGTTTTGAATACGTTTTTTTATTGAATGTAGAAACCTGTGCAAAGATCAGGTTGACCTTCCCATAATTTTTGTTGATTATACTATGTGTAATGTACCATCAAAGATAGATGTTCACCCTTCTGAATGAAAAAATCTGAGTAAAATACTGATTCTGATCACTTGCTCTGGTGATATTATGTGGTATTAATTGAAATCTTAAGAAGATCTCTGATTGTGAGATCTCTAATGATCTCGACTAATTCAAACTGATTGATTTCCTACCGAGAGAACATCTTCAATTAATATGAATAGATTTAGATTTTGAAGATGATCTTTGAAAATATCATTTTTATTGAATTGGACAAAGTATCAGAAAAATTTATCACTTTCAACATGAATTACTTGATATATTCCGAATAGGAATTTCAAAATAATATCTACAACACAAAGATCAAATGAAATCATTAATTTAACTTCTTCAAATCATTATACAAAACAAATATTTTCGGAAGAAAATATAAATTATAAACAAAAAGTCGAAATCGGTATCATTTATTTGTATCAAAACTAATTTAAAACTCATAAGAGTATTGTCCAAAAAATAGATTTAAAATGCATTCATAATTGATGTCTCATGAAAAAATAAGTGCATGCCCACGGAAAAATTTTTCAACAAATACCGCTACTAATCGCGGTTTAAAGAGTCGCATTTCTGACCGGTTAAAACGAACCGCGGGAGTCAGACCGTTTATTAGGTTTATACACACCGTCTGAAATCGCGGTTTGAAGAAACCGCGGTTTTCAACGGTTTTTGAAAAAAAATGACATCTATCCTAGTTGTTAACTAGCTGGGATCGCGGTGCAGCTTCGGTCTCATTACGGTGATCTAATACCGCGGTCAACCTGTATAATACCACCGATCATATAATTTCTTTTGCTTCAAGTGAGATTCGAACTCCTTACCTTATAATCACAGTTCCATAATTCCATTGAACCATATGGCGATGTTCATAGAAGCATCAAATACAATACTCTTTCTGATTTAAATTAAAAAGTCTAAGATAATAGTGTGTAAATAACAAAGTAGAGGATTTCTTTAAAATCTTTAAATTTTCCTGTGCTATTGTTATATTTTTAAATAATTATTTGCATTAATTGCAACGAATTGTGTCTATTTATATTTCCTCACACATTAAATTAAGTTGAGTAATTTAAATTTAAAATAAATGTTTATTATGATAAATTTAGTTTTTTTTAAGCTAAATTATTTTAATTTTGTAATTTCTAAAATTAGAAATTAAACTATTCTATTTCAACATTACATTTATCTAAAACTATGTATTAGAATTTTTATTCAACAAACAGGAGCTAATCTACCAAAGGATCGTACTTGGTATCAAAATGAGTTTGTTAATGAAGAGCCAAAAGGGAGTTTCTGGTTAGCGAGATGCTTTAAATTCTTTTCTCATTTGAGAC